GCCTCTTGATTCTGCTCGTGACGCGTCTCGGAGAATTGAAATTGTTATAAAACAACGCGAACTCTCTCCAGAGCATCGTCCGTTTGTCGCCGCCTTCGAGACGTTCCGCTAACATTACCGCAGCGAAAAGCGAGATTAATATGCTAGTGTCGTTGATATCCTCGCAACTGTATCGCCATCATTTACATATGCGTTAAACTTTTCAACATTTACAATACGTCGTACATCTAATGCACCTGATAAAGCGATCCATCAGCGTCTCTGTCGAACTCTTTGGACGGAAGGTACATTTAAACATTTTTAAATTTCCCATGAAACATCTATAGTGCATCATGCATGCATGTGTGCGATGGAATAATCTATTAATGCCTCTGTCGAACTCAATAGGCGAAGGATACATTTTTAAGTTCTTAAATTCACAATAAAATATCTACAATGCGCGCATCGTACACAAATACGTTTGATGAAATGATTTATAAAGCCTCCGTTGAACTCTTCGGGCGAAAGATACATTTAAAAATTCTTAAATTTCCAATGAAACATCTACAAACACACACGAATGCGTTTGATAAAGCGATCTATTAACGCTCCTGTCGAACTTTTTGGTCGAAAGATATATTTCAAAATTCTTAACTTTTCAGTGAATTTTGATCCATCGTTCTGCTTTGTTTTTATATCGCTTCAACTCGCTCATGTCGCCGTGTAACTTTATTTCAGTAATATGAAAGTTATTCAGTTAGCCTAAGAGTTAAATCCAAAGTGGAGCCTGTCCGGCTCAAACTCTCGGTTCCATGTTATTCTGGAATTTCGCGCTGATTTGTTGCCAACTTTGTTGCTGCAACATATTATATGCGAACGAACACACGAGCGTAACTTCTCACGTGGGAGTAATTTAACTTTCCAATTACGCGTGCGTGTGCCCTTGAGTTTGTTCAGCAAATCGAACTTTATTTCATTCAGCATGTAATTATGCGGGTATATGGTTTTACGCGATCATGAATGTTTCACTTTAACTTGCTATTGCTTGCTAGCTATTTGCTGCGAAATCGTCTAGATTCTGCGCGCAACGTTAAACATTTCTCCTCCAGAACTGAAAGGAATTTTTTCTAAAGCTCCTCTGTGAACGTTCTATGATGATCAGACGCCGAGAATGTACACTTTTCAGTGTGAATTTATATACGTATATACATGCATATACATGTATACACGCGCACACATGCGCGCGCGAATATAAATAAAATATCCCACGGCTGGCGTCATTGTGAGATTCCACACGGTCGATCGATACAAGTCAGGTTTTGAGAGCGTATCGTGTATGCCACTTACGGGAGTAACTTCTCGCGTGGGAGTAATTAAACTTTCTCGCTCTTTGTATACATAATCCTCCTGGCGATATTAACAGAGTGTTCGAGAATTTGCTTCCCCGACATGACAAACGCGCGTGTATATCATCGTCGACAATCAGCAATACCATATTTATAACCTCCAGAGAGAAATGCCTGAGAGTTAAAAACATGTATCTTTCCCTTCGAAGATTGATACATGTTTTTAACAACTCGTGTTACTTTCACGATAAAATTAAAGGACGGAAGTTTGCGCCCAAGAGACATTTTGTGAGAGTACTACTTAATGGTGTATTTTTTTCTTCTCTCTAAACGAAGCGCACGGCACGGGTCGAAGGGTGCGTTCGACTTTCAAGTTACCCCTATTTGTATCGTCACACGAAGAAAGCGCGATATTGTCAATATCGATTCCGCCGGTATCTTCATCGAGATCCGGCACGAGTAATTTACACAGATAGGCGGGAATTATTCATGAGCCAATTTAGTATGCCTCGGTAATCAAATGCCACGACACTTTCATAGCGCGAGTTCGCAGCGCTCTAACGCTTTCTAACCGACGTGAGACGCGGACCGGTGAATTCGCGCGTCGCCGCTCTAATGAGTCAACGAATTGGCAAAATCCGTTTCGCCGCCGCCGCATTTTTCCGATGGCCTGTTTGCCCAAGTTACACGCGGACGATATCTCACCGTTGCCCCGCAATCCACCACCCTCTCATCCCTCTCTCACTCTCGCTCGCTCACTCTTTCTCTCCCTATTCCTCCCTCCTTCTCTCTCGCGCCAATAGACGGCCGCCGACAAAAAGCATCCCATCGGAACGCAGCGAGTGTGTTCGATCCTTCGTTATGTATGACGCGCTGATGAAATTTGCGGATACGCGCATTACGAAGTCGCAGAGTTGCGCTGATGAACGACGCAGCTCGTCATAGCGTCAAATTACAGAGCGGTTGCAACGCCGGTCCGAATGTTGTCCGAGGTAACGAGTTGACTTCCACAATACCATATTAATTATCATACTGCCGGTGCGACAAGACAAGGCGTATCGGTTAACGAGCGAAGAATCGATTGTATTATTCGATTCTTTTGACTCCTTTGCGTTTTTCGCCCCTTCGCCTTTTCGGCGTGTCGAGGAGCGTCAGCCGACGATTCTCCGTTCTCGGTCGGCCACAAGGCTTGGTTGCGCGACGTTTCTTCCGATTCACGGTAAACTTCTTCCCTTCGAACATACGTTAAGTTACATAATTTGTGTACGCTGATGTTATAAAATAAATAGCGCCGTGAATACGCCAACTCTCGTGAAAATCCACGCGACTATTTAAGCGTTAAATGAATGCCGAGCTAGCGTGATTCGGTGCAAAGTTTTGCCTTAACACGGCGCGGTGTCGCTGGATATTAAAGTGAACTGTTGTCACACTACAACGCAGTCGCGATTCTCTACGCTAACTTTATACACAAATTCAGTCGCTTCGCGTTAGTTACCGGACAAACTAGTCGCATCGCACGGGCGGGTGGGTGGGTGCGCGCGGTAACCTTTCAGCAAAGCTATAAAAACTTACACGGCAATTGGACGTGGAGGATGAATATTCGTGAGCTGCGCTGCAGATGATAACTAACTAACACGAAATCGTACTATTTAATACTCACGGGGAAATCCAGAATAATGACCTCCCTTGGCTTTAATATGTCATGATATGCTTTCAATATGTACACGATATATACAGGTAAATTTAAATAAGAGGCAAGCATCTTTTTATAAGCAGTCAATCCGGTTTAAAGGCGAGTTAATTCTTTCGATAAATCGACTTTCACACTTTTCCAAATCAACATTTTCCAAACTGTGAGAGATAAAGATAAATTTTGCAAACAATTTTATAATTTGAAGATGCTTTACCACAGCCATTTGAAACATTTTTGTGGTGTAAATTTTTTTTAAACGCCTTCTCAACCATCTGATATTGATTTTGCAAATTAAAAATTTTGTATGACTTTTTTGAAAATATTAATTTGGAAATATAAAAGCCGATTTTTACCCGGAGAGGTTATTTCGCTCTCCAAAGCTGTGTGAACATTTTTATAAAAAATGCATGTTTCTCACGTTTTGACCTAAATTGTACATATTAAAAATGCTTCATAAGCTAAGGAGAATATTATTGCAGGTTTCCTTGTTAGTCTCTCGTACATGCTCTTAGGATGCATGTTATGTAAACGTTACATAGGGCAGTTAGTAACCCAGTATTACGTATGTCTTGCAAATTAACGTTTCCCATCGGTGAGCCGATAACTGGCACGGGAACATGAACGCAATATCGATACAACGGAGAGAAAGAGAGAGAGAGGGAGAGAGATAGATAGTGTTGGATCGTTATGCGAAGTCTCGATTTTTACCGACTTGCGAATAAAATAGTGGTCGCGCGGGGGGACACCGTCGTCATCTGTACCGTCACTTTCGTCGTTGTGCGGGCCTCTCTCGCGAAATTCCGTTCCTATAAACGTATGCATGACTCTCGACCGATTCGGGCCTGTTAACATATAAATTGCCGCTTAACGGCGAGACAATCAGTTTCGTGGGAACTCTCAGGAAGAGGGTGGCGACGGAGACGAAGACGGACGACGCTGAGAGGAAGAGTAAACGAGCTAGTAACGGCGATAGACGAAGAGAGGGAGGGAGATGTAGACGGAGAAAGCAAACGACGAGAAGGGATGATGGGAGACGGAGTAACCCCGAAAAGTAACGGGGCAAGATTGAGCGCGGGAACGGCGGGAAGGACAGAGCGCGTCTCTGAGCGGGTCGTCCCTTCCGCGGGGGAGGCCGTCGAAGAGACAGAAACGGGGGTAGGTGGGTGGGTGGGTAGGTAGGTAGGTAGGTAGCATTCAATTCAATTTCCTAAGAAACTCTTTAGTGTTTGAGATACAGCCGCCGAAAGGATGCGCGTGAGGTTAGATATGTGGCGGAGATGGTAGGAGCGATCGCGGTGGAAAGGGATGGAAGACGCGGGATAAACGGGGAGAGGATAAACGAAGAGGCGAAAGAGAGAGAGAGAGAGAGAGGAATGAGACGGGGATGAGAGGGAGAGAGGGGGGTTAGAGGTGGGATAGAGAGAAATCCAGAGGATGGATGGAAGCGCGATCGTGGCTGCGCGCGAAGGGGAGAAAGAAGAGACGCGACACGCCGCGAGAAGGACGAGGGCGAGCGATGGAAAAACTGTAATAGGGAGTGAGTCAGAAGACAACTACAACGATAGGGGGTGGGTGTGTGACGAGGGGCCGGAGAGAGCGGGGGTGCAGCTGCATAAAAGAGAAAGAAGTTCTCGTGTGAGTGCGGGGCGGGAATAAGAGGGTAAGAGAAGGGCCGGGGGAGGGGGGAGGGTGGAGTAGGGGGAAGAGGGCTTGATACTGCCGAAAGAGAAGGAAGACGGTGAGACAGGACGAAGGGGGAGGGAGGGTCGCAGGATACGAGCGAGAGCTCGGATGGAAGAACCGCGGGATAAACGGAGACGGGAGTAGCCAAAGAGAGAGAGAGAGAGAGAGAGATAGAGAGAGAAAGAGAGAGAGAGAGAGACTGACTAACTGACTGGTGGCTGGTCAGGGGGAGAAGGGGAATAAGGATTCTGTGCGCGGGCGCGAAGCTGGCGCAAACTCTTCGTGCAGCATCCCTCGTCAGTTGCAAGTCAGGAACTATCGCGGCCGCGTGGCGCCCGCCCGTGTCGCACAGCCCGTCAGTCTTGCCGATTTTGAGCGCGGTGGTCGGCCGATCGGCGCGAAAAACCGGCGTGTATTACGGAGACGGTGGTGGTCGGTGATCGGTCAGTGACAACTTCGGGATCTCTCGTTCGCGAGTTCCACCGATACCGCGTGACGGCCGATGTCAGCCCGCGCGGGGCGGCACGTTGCTTCGGCTCGCGTTAGCGGAGTTTTGGATGAATAGCCGCGCGGAAACGAAAGCGCCGCGGTACCGGTAACCCGACGACGCGGGATTCATGTAGGCGAAGAAACGTGAGAGTACGCGCGCGCGGTACACACGCAGTGACGCACGGGGGGATTCCCCGCGACGAAAATGGATAAAGACTGTCGCCGGGAATACGGAAAAATGCGATGTGCTCTGCTTCAACTGCTGCTGATAGTGGGGGGTAAGTTTCATACATGCAGTGCTCTGACTTCGGAAGGGGGTTGGTTGGTTGGTTCTCCGAGTGATTCGCAATCGGCCGGTTTCGATTGCCGGTGTTAGTCCCGGCGTCTTCGCCGGTTTCCGATCTCCGCAAAGGAGACGATCAACCTCAGTGAATCCTACCGCCGCTGTTTCGCCGTTCTTGCGAAAGTAGAGGGCGGGCGTGGGGGAACGTGTCTTTCCACTCATTGGCAATTTTGGACTGAGTTGGAATGGGTGCTTTGAACAACAATCTACATGTGGAAGAGAGAGAGAGAGAGAGAGAGAAGTAGGGAGAAGTTCTTGTCGAAAGTCTCGGAGCCCTACATGGCTCTATCAGCCACAGTTTAGATTACCGAGTGACGTCAGGGCGGGACAGGGGAGGATGGGATAATGTCCGCTCCTTCGTATCGTGCCAAGAGGGAGAGACGTAAAACGGTTAAGTTCCCACTAAGTTGGGCCTGCAGTCGTTAAAGGAGTCGTTGGTGCCTTCGACCTACTATGTGTTCGCCGGTTGCCTCATGAAGTTCCGAGACCCGTTGATCCGGAAAAGGACGCGGAGTACCTGCGTTCTTGGGCGAATGGGCGGCCGTTTGCAGTTGCCCTACGATCGGCAAGAACGGCATCATTACAAACGAGTTCAGCTCGCGCGGATCACGTCGGGATTGTTTCCGTTGCGTTTCGCTCGGCGGTGCACTCGTTGCTAACTGTTACAAGCTCCGTTTCTCGAAGACAAGCACGACGACGGTACTCGTTCTAAGGTCTGTTGAACAATACGTCGGACGTCGGAACTGTCGGAACGCAGACGATGGCCGAATGAGGAGAACTCGTTTTCGAAAAGTAAATTCCCTCACCGGACCATCGGCTGCGTTCGACATCTGACAGTGACATACGGCGTGTTGTGTTCCAAACCTAAGGCCTGTTATATAAATCGTGTGTCACTATCGGATGTCAAAACGCAGCCGATGGCCCAGTGAGGGGAATTCCACTTCGAAGAAGAAATTCTTTCATTGGACCGTCGGCTGTGTTTCGACATCCGACATACGACTTATTGTATAACAGGCTGAAGCCTTCTCATCGACGAATCGAAAGCGTTTCGGTCGTTCCTTCGGCGCGCCCCGCAAACAATGCCGGACCGATCGTCTCCCTTTCGTGCTACTTTTAAACAGGGAGCGCAGTTTCCGCGCGTACTACAAATGGGAATTGATGAAGATCGCGGACGCGAACGTTTCGCTCCGATTCGCGGCATTTTTGGACGTGAGCCACCGTCACCGGAGTGGCTTCCATAGATTTGCAATTTGGATATAAGCCCCGAGCTAATCAGCGAAAACTTCGTTAAAGTGAGTCGAGTGCTTCACGATACCTCATATCCGGCAGAAACACCGGGAAGTGTCGGTCTTCTCGCAGTTTGCATTTAGAGAGGATTCGTCTCGCACGACCAACTTTTCTTTCTCGTCATCTGAAGCGAGTATATTTACGCGGATATTACAGCGCGCGCACACTGATTCCCGTGATCCCGTGTGCAGCAACAGCGAGCGAGTAGGGGTGAAGGATCAGTCGGATTAAAGACTAAAGCTTGCGTCTCAGGACAGGTGCGGCCCTCGTACCGTAGGGGCAACTGCTTCGTGACAATCGAGTGAATTAGCGGGCCGGATGAGTTAACGCGCGAGTTTTTACACACGAGAAGAGTGTGATGTATGCGTTGGACGACGCGAAATGCGTGATGGACGGAAACTTCCAAGAGAATTTGAAATACCGAGAAACCATTTCCGACTATAACGTTACAGAAATAAAAAAAAAAATGCGTGTGTATACGTACGCGTGTGTGCACTATGACTGGCTGGTCGGAAAAAAACGGGCAAAGTGATTCATACGTGGGAAGATTCGACAATGCATCTAGCTTTGCTGCGAATGACTGGAGGTAGTCCGAGCTTTCAAAACGACGAGAGGTGTATACATTTTTTTTTTACCGAAAATTGGAGAGATATGTAATACGTCGGGATGTAACGCGATTAAGGAGAGAAACGTGTCGAATTAATCCTACCGTCGATTGAAATTGTAATATTAGATGCGGTCGTTTGAATCTTTTAAACGACTCTATATACCGATCTGTAATGAATTAGAAAGATTCATGAGCGAAAATATGCAACGTTGATAAAATCGATCGATCACCGCATCGCGCGGATCTTATTTTTGTAAAGTTGCTAAAATCAGAAGGCATATTTTGTATGTAAACAAAGAGAGGCGGAAAAGAAATATCCTCGTGTGCAAATGTTTTTTTAAGTTACCGGCATAACGCGGCATTCTTATCCTTCGAAGGGCGGAGCCCGCTGGACATCTCGCGATCTGCTAAAGGTGGCGGCAAGCGAGCTAGTTAATTTCAAATCTCGTTGAGCATTCATTTGCATCTACTTGCCATTATTACAAAATTTGTATGAATTTGTTAAAGGCATTTGCATGACTAACAGCATCGAGGGGCAAAGAGGTGTTTATTTGCCATCGCGTTTACCCTTTTCCCGTCGATAGTTTAACGAGACGCTCTGGAACGTTAATAACAGTCACACCTTCGTCAAATTTTGCAAGCATCGAAGAGATTTTCATGAAGTCGTATTTCTTGACAAATTGCTCAGCTGGCAATTCGCGCTACATTCGCGCTAGTTCGCGGCACGCCATTTTTGCGTTGTAAAAGTCGGTTGTTTCCGATGAGACAAATTCTCTCGACTGAATATTTGCCTTCCGTTGCCGGACCGCCGCTTTTCCACACGATTGCGTCGTGCCGCAGCAAGGCGGAAGGATACGTGAGAATTCTTCGAGAAGAGAGAGAGAGAGAGAGAGAGAGAGAGAGAGAGGAGTAAGTCGAGAGATAGAACAAATCGCTGCGAACGTGCGCCGGAATGCAGACATCCTGAGATACACTCTCTCCTTCCCCCGCCTCTCGCCGTCTTCTCGCAGATACTTTACTTCTGTGACGCACAGAACTACCTCGAATACGTTCTATGCTTGCATTCGCTCTTATTGGAAAAATACCAGAGTGTTGACTACGTCGATGACATGATTTATTTTTCCGTTGGAAAATCGCGGCTCTCCTACGACGCAGCGAGATTTTTGTACTTTGGAATCTTGAGCCGTTGTTATCTTCCCCTCTCTCTCTCTCTCTTTCTCTCTCTCTCTCTCTGTCTGCCTCTTTCGTCTGTGCTTTTTAATACATGCGGATTCTTCCGTTTCTCAAAGACGCATCGTCGTTTCACGTCGTCGCTTTCGATCGTGCTTTGATTCGGGCGCGGAGAAATACAATCCCGCGGGCGAAAGAATAGTTTCCTGGGAATTTTCTCTTATTTTCATCCGCCAGCAGGATATTTTCGAAATGAGCATGTTTGCTACCGAGAGTGCACCATATTTTCGAATGCTTCTATAAACTCCGTTCACTCCACGAGCAGTTTCAACGTAAAACGTTTGTTATCTTTCACAACTTTATCCAGCGCTACTATATGTGCCGCTTATTTCCTTTCATACTTTATTACGATTGTTAAACATCATCGAGACGCAATGTATGAGAAGGAAGTTCGTGTACCATTTATATTTGCATGTAAACGGTATTGACTGAACGAACGAATCCGCGGGATTTTCGGGTGCATTGCAAATCTAAGTTTGTTATACGTGTAATACATACGTTACATGCGTTCGCTCAAACGCATTAAATAAATACGTGCGTTGCGATATAAACGTGTAAAAACGTGAAGAGAAACATGTGAAAAACAGCTTTCGTTAAATTACACGTTTATGCGTATAACGATAACACACAAGTTCGCAGTGTGGATAAGAGTTACTTCGAAATTCGTGAAAATCGTTTCCTTTTTGACTTATGCGATTATGACGCGAATATATATTTTTACCGTTTGTATCGAGTAATTCTGAAATAAAAAATTTTTCCGTACGAACTGATAGCTACGAAAAGCCTTAGTAAAATTAATTGCCGTCGGTAAACTGTGGCACATCGATCCATTTTCCGATATAAATTTTTTAAACTGTTCGACAAACATGAAGTGATTCTCATCGGTTAACAGCGGGCAAGTTATTTGTCCAATGTAAATTTTTAAAACCGTTTTCGCGTCGTACGTTACGGACGTTACATGCATTTTATCACAGAGACAGGGGGATTTCTGTAGGAGATTTCTGCTCAGTCAATTGTTCACAGTTGTCTCAGCCGAGTTTTAACGCAGCTGAATGTTCACACGAATGTGCTCGGTCGCGGTAATAGGACACAATGAAAAATTTAATATTAAATCTAACACATTTCACATGTCTCAAACGGTCCGTACGAATTTTCGTGTTAATTTAACGTAAGGTGAATATGTTGAAAAATAACACAAATATTATATCAAAAGCTAACGCAAAATTAATATTTATACTAATATGTTAATCGACATTGAAGTATAAAATGTGTTATTTTAACACTTACACATAAATACCAATTTAAATACCAACACAAAATATATATATCGATATAATGTAAACATAATATGTTCAATTAACACACGGGTATATTAAAAATTAATAGGAAGGAAACAGAAAATAAATAGAACAGTTTTAACAAAGACCGATTTTAACACCAGTACACAATATTTTTTGTATATTCGTGAGATATCTGTGATATATCATTTCTCGTCACAAAGTTTTCACTTTTCCTCACCGAGTTTCTATTTATTGTCAGTGAGTTTTTATCTAGTTTCAATTCGGTTGCAGGAACTGAGTTTCTTCCGTATATATAAATTCACGCTGAGTACAAATATATGAAAGTGCTCATGAGATCGCTTATTTTATTTCTCGATCCTGTTCTCGTTGCGAGGGTAATAGTCGCATAGAAGCGTGTTCGCGAGTCCCACTTGCTGCGAAAATACACACGACACGTCAGTTTTCTCGGTGCGCGTTTTAAAATATGTTCTATGATATGACATCGTCCTCGTCGTTTCGCAAGATATTCGA